CCACACACACACACACTACACACACACCACATACACACACACATACACACCACACATACACATACACACACACACCCACACACACCAGACCCCACACACACACACACACACACACACACACACACACACACACACACACCATCTCCCTGGGACAGCTGTGATTTACAAAACAGGCTCTGCTACAATGCGAACAAGTCCTACTCTACGGTCAGCATGTCCCATACCACCTGAAGATGGGCTGGTGACACAACCAGTGATAAGAGACCAGGAATTTAAGGTGAATCCCAATGTTTTAATCTATAAAGAAAAAAACAAAATGGCTCTCGTGGGGAAGTACTGAGGGGAATTGGACACTTATCGTTAGTCTGCTCAGTTTTCCTGTCTGCCTGTCTTTTCCAATTACTATCCAAGGGATTCCTGACTCACAAATGAAACACAGGCCTCTGTAAAGACCGCTTTTGTCTGTGCCTGTGGTCTGGGCACAGCCACACACTGCCATCCATTCTAACTGAGTGACCTCTCTATCTTCCTTAGCCAAATCCAGATACATACTCAGAGTCACCTGCTCCTCACCGGCCTTCCTCTCCTCTATAACTACCTCAATGTAGTTAGATGGTGGTAAAGCCCTGATTACAGCCTAGTTACTAAGGTAATCAAGTCCAGGAGCATCAGTCTGCAAGGCACTCACTTATATCCCATTTATCACTCACATTCAAGGTAGATGACCTTAACTCATGCTAGCTTCCCTTAACACCAAGTCTTCTCCTAGATACTTTCCCTACTAGTCAGTTTATTCTCATGTGAATCATTTCAAATGATTAAACAACTGTTAAGTATATCTTAAACTTTGGTTTGCTTTTAGTGTTTCCCAGAGGTGAAAAGGTCAAGAATAAGTCACGGAAGACTACTGAAGGACTGGAAGACTTTGGGAGTGAGAGAATGGAGAGAACAGGAAGCAGGCGTGTGGAAACTGACTGTGGACAGTACTCCATGCAGATCCAGGAAGGGTGTACAATATCAATATCCAGCTGTTACATTTCTCAAGATTGGGCAAGTCTATGTGAAGGGAGAAATTTCATTAATGTTGGCTTCATTGGAGAATCACGTTACTCCGCAAGATAGGGAAAATGAATGAGAAGATGGGTAAGTAACAAAATACAATATGTTCTCTTATAGAGTAGAGGGCTTATCAAAGTCTCATCTCATGGCCAGTGCAGGGGAGAGTGAAAACATGAACGGTCTCATTTGTGAAGCAGGCGAATTGCTGGGAAGAATACGATATATAGATCACCTGGATGTGCTCTTTGTTTTTGTTAGCTGCATCCCAGAATGGTGTAATTAATGTAGGACCTGACGTTGGTGAAGAAGTCTCAAGCAATCTCTTTCTGCCAGATGTCTGATCTTGCACAAATCACTTAAACAAACTCATTGATGCAAGAATTACAAGAATGGTATGTGTATGTATGTATGTATGTGGGGCCAGGGTACATTTTAATACAAATAGCTACATAAGATGCTTTATTCGAGTCTGTTATACCAGTTTGCTCTTGTCTGGTTGTTTGTCAGATCTAAGGTTCATACTGAAACTTACTCCCCACAAATCACAGGCTAATGGGATTTGGAGGCGGGGCCTTTGGAAAGTAACCAGGAGAGGATGTGGCCATGAAGGTGGAGCCTTATGACTGCAGGAACGGCTTTATTTGGAGAGAAAAAGAGATGAAGTTAGCAGCTTGCTCTGCCTTGTGAAGTGATAGCCTCCTCCGGGTCATGACCCAGCAGGGAGGCTCTCAGCAGACGCCAAGAGGATGCCAGAGCCATGGTCTTCATTGTGAAGTGTAACATTGTGAAGTGTAAGGTAAATTAACCTCTTTTCTTTATAAATTTCTCAGGCTGTGATATTGTTATGGGGGGGGGGGAGAAAGATTCAGGTTAACTAAGCCACAACCCTTATTTATGCTCATTATTGCTTAGGTTTTATTTGGGGTGTTTTGTGGGGGGGAGAGGCAGGGAATCTGAGTAACTCACATAGCAGAAGCACCATCCAGTTAATAGAAAATCACTTCCAGGAACAGGGAGACAGTTCAGTCAGTAAAATGCTTCTCATGCAAGCATGAGAACTTGAGTTCCACCCCCAGAAACCACATAAAAAAAAGGAAGTGGGAGCACACACTTGTAATGCCAGGCCTAGGTGTGTGTAGACAGGCACATCCATGATGCCAGTTGGCCTAGCCTAATTGGCAAGTCCCAGGTCCCAGTGAGAGACTCTGTTTCAAAAAACAAGGTGGATGGCTCCTGAGACCAGCACTGGAGGTTGACCTATGGCTTCCAAACACGTATACACACAACACTCTCACACCCCCACACAAAAGATAAAGAAAATAAACTCCACTTAATGGGGAAATACGAAAACAGTAAAGTTATGGTCGTCATATAAAGCACCTTGAAATATGCTAATCAGGTAGGTAATCTCTCCTCTCATAAGCATACTTTTCTCTCATGCAAAACAGTTGCCAGAATTAATTACCAGTGCATCAGTGGTGACAGAACTTTTCTATGAGTCTGAACCAGTCAGACCATACCACAGTCTAGATCACAAATAATGAAAAGCTTTTCATGGAAATATAACGGGGAAGGGCCACCTCCAGTAACACTGATCCATTCATTAATTTACTCGATCCTTATTTTATAGCAGGTTCTATCTCGGGTGCTGGACTTCGATGGTGGAAAGAAACAGAAAGTTCCTGTCATCTGGAACTCACATTCTAACAGAAAAATACAGACAGTAAACCAGCTGGGCTGGCAAGATGGCTGAGTGGGTAAAGACACTAAACCTGACCTGATCCCCAGGACCCACATGACGACAAGAAAGAACACACTCCTCAGAGTTGTCCCTTGACCTCCATATGCAAGCTGTCACACACACACACACACACACACACACAGATAAATGAAAAAATGTTTTCTATTTTACAATATTTCAGAGGTGATTAAGTGCTACAGAAAACAAAGAAAAGGCAGGGAAAGAGACGCCAATTTCAGACAGAGCAGTCAAGGGAGACTTTTCAGAGAAGATGCCAATTAAGGAAAGACCTAAGAGAGACAGAAGAGTAAGGCATGCAGATTTGTGGGGAAAGAGTAGCAGGGCCATATCTAAACCTTCCCGGCAAGTCCAGATAACACAGGGTAGAACCTCTCACCTTTTAAAAGGGGCTGGAAGGTTGGAATCTCTTGCAGCTTGATGACATCAGGATCATTGCTGACATTCCTGGAGGCCTGAGAACCCTGAGCTACCACCACGATGTCATCCATCTTGGCCCGATGTTTAGCTGGAGAGGGGGTCACTGCAAATCAAGTGACACGGATCAGGAAGTGCATGATGGGAAGCCACCACTGCCCACCAACATAGTCACTAGAAAGAGTAGTTCACAGTACACAGAGATTTTTCTGATCTTAACATACATGCTTCTCGTCAAAGCCATCCTTATTTAAAACGATAAGTTACTTCTCCCAAGAGTGGTATTGGCTACTTTTTGTCTTTGAGATGTTGAAGTGGATTCAGGCTTAAAAACAAACAATAACAGCTGGGTGGTGGTAATGCACACCTTTACTCCCAGCGCTCGGGAGGCAGAGCCAGGAGGATCTCTGTGAAGTCAAGGCCAGCCTGGTCTATAGAGTAAGATCCAGGACAGGCACCAAA